TCGAACCCCTGAGCTCAGGCAATCCTCTCGCCTCGGCCTCCCAAAGTGCTGGGATTATAGACATGAACCACCGTGCCCGGCCAAGCATGGTCTTATTGTACGTACTGTTTTCACGTTATATTGTGAACATCCTTTTGTTTCCATATAGTTTTTTCTGTAACACAGTTTTGAATAATTATATAGTAGTTCACTATATGCATGTGTCATAATTTATCAACCTAGCCACCATTTTTGAACATTTTATATATTTTCTATTTTTTTGGTATTACAAAACATAAACATCCTTAATGCCAAATATTTTACCCACAGTCACAATTATTTCCTCGGGGTAAATTCCTGCAAGGGAGATTGTTGGCTTGGAGGATATGTAAAATCCCACCCTCCCAAGGGTCCTGGCATACAGAGTCAAGGAGAAGCGTGGCTAGTGAGACAAGGCTGCTTGCAAGGTGGCAGGGGGAACTTAGACGGCGCAGGGGTGAGGACATTCTTCCAGGCCCACAGGGCCAGCTCAGGAGAACCGGCAGAGTGGAAGCAAAGTCCATTCTTCAGTACCAGGGCTTTCTTCCTGAAACAGGACAGGAATATACTAGGGGGACCTCCAAAATCCCGGAATTTATTTATAAAAAACTGTGCGTTTATTCTTGCACGTTTAAACTGTAGTCACCTTCAAAGTACTCTCCCTTTGATGCAATGCACCTGTCGAGACGCTGTTTCCGCTGCTCAGAACCGTTTTTGAACTTGTCCATCTGGATGCCTTTCAGCGCTTCTGCTGTTGCTTGTTTCACCTTTTTCGAATCGGCAAGACTTGCCCCTTGGATGGATATTTTTCCATCCAGGGAAACAAGCCAAAAAAATGTTACTTGGGGTTAGATCGTGCAAATAGGGAGGGTTGGGCACGAGGGTTATGACACTTTTTGGTCAAAACTGCTGAACACTCAGCATGAAGTAGGCAAGTGTGTTGTCATGGGTGGAAGCACCAGTCACCTGCTGGCCACAACTCAGGACGTTTCTTCTCCAGCCCAGCCGCCTCTCACAATGCTAGCTGGTACACGGATGTGGATGGGTTCCTGGAACACTTACCTAGCGGGAGAAGCCTGGACCACGAGGGGTCCGCCCTCCAAAAGACAATTTCGGGTTTTCTTGGGATCCCCCCTCATCTATTCTCGGTAGCCGGTACTGAGCCTTTAGCTATGGGAGACGGTAAGGAGGACCTGGGTCTACAGAGAAGGGAGTCGAAATTCAGTGTGTTTATTCTGGTGTGAATTTGCAGGTAAAGGAAGAGGAGGGCTTTCCTTGTGGGATTCCGAAGAGTAACAGAGCACCCCACTTGTTTTCCAGGTGGGATGGATAACAGGGTCTCAGGCACAACCAGTAATGGAGAGACAAAACCGGTGTGTCCAGTCATGGAAAAGACGGAAGAAGATGGCACCCTCGAGCGGGGGCACTGGAAGAACAAGACGGAGTTTGTGCTGTCAGTGGCCGGGGAGATCATTGGCTTAGGCAACGTCTGGAGGTTCCCCTATCTCTGCTACAAAAATGGGGGAGGTGAGAGCCACCGCGCCACCCCACCCACTCCTGGAAGGAGGATGCGTCTGTCTCCCGCTCCTCCTGTCCTGCTGGGGAGTCCCGGAGATTCCTAGAGTGTTAGAGTTAGAAGGATCCTCGAGGTCATTCAGGATGCTCTGTAGGAGACCGAGGCCTAGGAAGGTGACGTGCAGTCTGGGGCTCTTTCTAGGATAGCCTGGCATCATGGGACTAGGGCGACAGGCTTGGAACCAGCCGGCTCTGAGTCTGGGTTCTGGATCTGCTGCATTTTCTCTGCGCGATCTTGGGCAAATCACTCGGGCTCTCAGAGCCTCGACTGCCGTTCCTGTAAACCGAGATCATAATGGCTGCCTTTCGAGGCTGTTGCCAGGATTAGCGAGACTGTATGCAAAGCACTTAATAAATGGTGGCTGTGCTGATGATGAAATCCATGCCAGACTGTTCTGTGGTCTTCAGATTCCTCCGCTTTGGCCTTGTGTCTTTCTCTGCCCGGCTGGCGCCCTGACATGCGCTAAGCCAGCCGTCACCCAGCACCCGCCAGACACCATAACCCTCGACACGCATGGCTCTTCTTTGACAAGTTTCCCGGGTGCAGACGCGTGCGAGTGTTGGCTGGCTGGGGAAGCATTACCTGCGGCTCTTCCCTGGGTCTTCACTGGGTCACGATCGGCTTTAATCCCCTCCCTTCTAGCCCCCTGGGGAGGATTCTGCTATCCCCACAGCAAAGGCGGTCATTGCTTTGCAACCATTAGCCCTTATGGGAGGCTTTCTACGTCTCTGTAGGAAGCCCCGGAGGGATTTCCCCAGTACTGGAGGGTTCCGGCTGGTCCGTGGGCCGGGTGATGGAAAAGCGGGTGGGGTTGGAACTCCTGGGTCTGGTCCTGTAGCCTGAGCTGAAGGCAGGTGGCCTACAGAGGTAGGACGTCAGGGAAGATGCTGAGAGGAGTTCTTTCCTGGGCCGCAGGGATCGGAGGTCCTCTAATGTGACACCCACCCTGTCACCGGTGAGCGGCCGCCTCCGGACCCATCCCGCTTGGGTCTTGGGTCTTGGGTCTTGAGTGGTTTTGGAGAGAGAAAGGATACAACACAGGGTGGGGGCAGGGCTGGAGAACAGTGCCGGAGAAGAGTCCTGGGCCCGGAGACCCTTGCTCCCAGGTCCGTGGCAACTGGGGCCCAGCCCTGGGGCTGGAAGGTGACTTGTACTTTTCCGGCGGGCTGGGAATGGGCTCACGTGTTCTTTCTCGCTAGGAATGTCTGGCCAATGGCCTGAAATCGCTGGGCTTTGCTCATTCTGCATGGCAAGGGAAGAGGGAGGCCTTCCCGCCTCGCCCAGTCCCCGGACACTCCACATGCTGGATTAGGAATTGGGGTCTGAGCACCCCCCTCCCTTGAGGGCATCAGGCAGAGCCGTGAGGTTGGCCCGAGGCCCAAGCAGGAGTCTGGGGGGGCTAAGCTGGGCACTGGGCCTCTGGATCTGGAACCCGGGAACCAGCTTAGCCCCTCACGTGGCGGAGAGATTAGGAGGTGAGCGGCTTTCCCCAAGCCTCTCTGGAATTGGGTCAAGGTTGGCCTGGGAATTAGCAGGAGGGTACGGAGAGGTGGGAGACTGATCTCCAGGTCGAAGGCGGCCCCCAGGGCTGACGGGCTGACAGAGGAAAGGGCATGGGAAGCAGCGACAGGAGGCAGGGGGCACGGGGCTCCATTTGTCGGGCGGTGCTCGGCTCCGAGCGCTGCCCCAGGGCTCTGCGGCGAGTGTGTGCGGGCCTGTCTGGTGCACAAATGCCACCCAGGGAGAAGAGGGCACATGGCTCTTGGCTTTTTACTTGTACGCAAGGGTGCTCGTGTGGGGATGTGGAGGCCATGGGCAGCTGTGGCTTCTTCCTCCCTGGGTGGAGCCTGCCTTCCAGCGCGCTGGTTCCAGTGGACAGGAGAGGGCTTTTTAGGGGTCTTGCGGTTCAGTCGTGTTCTCTTTGTTTTTACTTCCTTCTTTATTTTTTTGTCGAGATGGGGTCTTGCGATGTTGCCCAGCTGGTCTCAAACGCCCGCCCTCAAGTAATGCTTCCGCCTCGGTCTCCCAAAGTGCCGGGATGACAGGGGCGAGCCACTGCGCCCGGTGAGGTGCTCCTTGTTTAACCCTTACACCACCACCCACGATTTCGTCCCTTGGTCAAACACAGGGCTCCCCTCCCTTCCCGAGAGACGACGGCAGCTGGAATGGGGGTGTTCTGAGGGAGTTGGAGGCCGATGCCCAGGCGTGCTCTGAAGGGCCCGGGTCACCCAGGGGGACTGGCTGCAGGGATGAAAAGGCTCCTTTGCCGAGGTAAGGGGACTGATCCCGGATGGTGCGGTCCTTAGAGGAACCTAGACCCACCTGGTTTCCTGCTTGGTGGCATCCTCAGCAGTTCGCCCTCTCTGCCAACACTCGACTCGCGTTGCTCCTCCCGAGAGTAGGTCACACTGCACCTTGTCACCTTCCTGTCTCTTTGCCAAAGAAGACACCAACGCCTCTTTCTGAAGCACGGAGAGAAGGTGGGGAGGATGGAGACCCTTGAGCTTGACCCCTTTCCTCCTGGTTTAGTGATTCTCCTTAAATCCCTGGTTCTCCAACTGGGGCTCGGGCTCCAGGGTATGATAAAAATGTCCCAAGCAAGCTCTGGAGAGGGATGCCAGCACACTCTGGTGCTGGACCCTAGTGGCGGGCTTCTGGGCCCGAGCTCTAAACTGGCAGCTTCGGCCGGGCTCGGTGGCTCAGCCTGTCATCCCAGCACTTTGGGAGGCTGAGGTGAGTGGATGGCCTGAGCCCGCGGGTTCGAGACCCGCCCGGGCAACTTGGCGAGACCTCATCTCTACAATAAATCAAAAATTAGCCGGGCGTGGCAGGGTGCGCCTGTAGTTCCGGCTACTCGGAAGGCTGAGGCGGAAGGATCGCCGGAGCCCAGCAGGTCGAGGCTGCGGTGGTCGGGAGCGGCCACTGCACTCCGGTCTGGGCGACAGAGTGAGACTCCAACTCAAAAAAAAAGGAAAAAAAAAAAGTCCCAAGCAAGCTCTGGAGAGGGATGCCAGCACACTCTGGTGATGGACCCTATCCGCGGGCTTCTGGGCCCTCGCTCTAAACTGGCAGCTTCAAACGACCACTTTAGGGCTTGGGGTGGGCAGAGGCGGGGGACATTATTAGTCGTTGTCTGTGTTCAGTGGGAAGCTCAGGGATGAAGAAGTCCCCAAAGCATCATTTTAGTTCCAAACTAGAAATAAAAGATTTCTTCTCTGGTTTCTTCCAGCTTTGGCATTTGGTGGTTCTAATCTGAAATGAGTTCCAGAGGCAAGAATAAGCTAGATCAGAGGTAAACAGTTGAAAACCCAGGAAGCTGAGAATGTGGTATGAAGAAACCCATCTAAAATTGGAAGCAGGCCGGGCACGGTGGCTCACACCTGTAGTCCCAGCACTTTGGGAGGCCAAGGTGGAAGGATGACTTGAGGTCAGGGGATGGAGACCACACCGGGCCAGCATAGCAAGACCTCGTCGCCTCAAAAAATCAAAAGGTTAGCTGGGCATGTTGGTGGGAACCTGCGGTCCCAGCTACTCGGGAGGCTGAGGTGAAAGGATCGCCAGAGCCCAGGAGGTCAAGCTGTGGGGAGCCATGATGGTGCCACTGCACTCCAGCCCGGGTGACAGAGTGAGACCTAGACTCAAAAATAAATAAATAAAATGGAATGAAATAAAACGAGACGCACCAGGGAGGCTGTTTAGGGAGGTGGGTGGAAGGGACAACCACCTCTGTCCTCTCCTAGCTAAACACTCTCCCTGCTGTCCAGGGCCTGTGCCTGATCCATGTCTGAGCACGTGACCTTAGGTGCCCAGTCTCGGTCAGTTTCTCAGCACGCAGCCAACCAGTCCCTGAGACCGACTGTGCCCTTCAACGGCAAATATTGAGAGCACCTGGCCTGTGCCAGGATTGTTCTAGGTGGCCGGGATACATCTGTAAACATAACAGACCAATTCCCTGTCCCTGGGGGGCTGACTTTCTGGAGCAGAGAGACAGAAGACAAACAGCGGACATCGTAAATAAGTAAATCGCACAGCGCATCATAATTCGCAAGCATTGTGGGAAAAAGAACACAGAGAGCTGGGAAAGGGCTTTGGGAATGTGGGCATAGGTGGTGGCAGGTTTTGTTGTTTTTTTAACTTTCTGTAGAGACGAGGTCTTGCTATGCTGTCCAGGCTAGTCTCGAACTCTTGGGCTCAAGCAATCCTCTCGCCTCAGCCTCCTGGAATGCTCGGATTACAGGTGTGAGCCACCATGCCCCGCCAGTGGTTACAATTTTTTTTTCTGAGTTGAAGTCTCACTCTGTCACCCAGGCTGGAGTGCAGTGGCACACTCACAGCCACCC